TGATAGACGTTATGGGCGTTGAGAACCAACGCGGACTAGCACATCTTTTGGATCATATCAGAAGATGCAGGTTACAATTTATTGATGATTAAATATGTTTTTACAGTAAGGTTAATTTACTACCTTTACATGTTCTTGTTTCCAGTTCGGCGGTTCATGAGCCTCTTGGCTCGTTTGGACCGTACAAGCTTGAAGCTTGTAACACAAAAACGTGAAAAACGTGAAACGTGTCCTCCGTGTTATTCGTACGAATTCATTCAATTATGTTCTCGAATTTTGTTTGAATTTGTTCGAATTTGTCTCGTGACGTGCGTACTGCTTGGCGTTTTCCTTTTGCTCTTCCTGCAACCCATTCCTGCGCGGGCTATGCCAGCTATATGTGGGCCGGCTGTAGTGTCCTGGGTATCAAGGGATCTAGCATACGCCGATCGGTTCTTTTCCTGCGATAAGACGTGATATAACACCGGCCTTTCTCAGGTTGACATTCACTGACAACCAAACAGACGGACAGACAGACAGACACAGTTTTAGACTGTCGGAAGGCGGGAAGGTGCAGGATGCAAAACTGGGACGTGTACCAGTACAAAAAGAGATGCGTTTGGACGACTATTTACTGAGGAAGGCTTACGAAGAGGAGCTAACTTAAAGCAGAGGTTTTGGCCGGTGAATAGTACAGCGGCTGGAGGGTGGGGGCCCACTGGGGGGGAGGGGCTTTTCAATTGCTTGCCGCTGCGGCGCTATGTCGTGTCGTTGTCGTTGTCGTCTTTAGAAGTCTATATATGCACGGGTATTTATATCATAAACGTTTTGGACGCATCATCTCATTATTATTTCGGTTGTTCCATCCAAAATTCAAAAGTACGCTGTACGCTGCGCGTGATGGCTCCGAAGGAAGGCCCTCCCAAAATTTTATTTACTGTTGTTGCTTAGCTGAATTGAATTGAATTGAGTTCCCACCACACAGTTGTTTTGGCAGTAGTGGCTGTGGACGACAACGCTCATGCAAATGGCGGCCGCACCGGGTTACCGTACTCTGACGTTTCGGCCAGTGTGTATTCACCTGATTTAAGTGCATATGTGGTGTGTACGTGAAAGTGCCTTGCAAGGCCAAGTCGGGCCGTCGTTCCAACGAGTTGTATAATTCGCAGTCTGACACATGCTATTTATTAAATCTGGTCTGGTCTGGGTAGACACTACTGCAAAGAGCGGTTTAAGATCCTGGGTTCGATTCCCGGGAAGACCCCCGGATTACTCGGGAGAACGAGATTAAGGCTAGCTGCTGAGATGTGGAGTTGAGGTCACAGTTGATGAACCAGATTCGCACGCTGGGTCGGTGGCGATTGCCAAACCCTCCGACTCTTCGGATGTTCGGGTGAATGATGAGGAGGGGTCCCTGAAGGCTGGATCCGCCGCCTTGGACTTACAGTTCGTATGGCGAAGACAGTGTGGTAGTGGTGGATGGTGCTTTAAGGTGATAAATCGTAGAACTGACAATGTGATAAAGTGGCCCAGAAGCCTCCCACTCTGTAACATTACATTGTCAACACCTTTTCCTCAAAGTGTGAAGATTCTAGAGAGATTCGTTGCTTTTACGGCAGTGCCGTACCGTACACGTCACCACATCAAACATGCTGCGTGATTCCTGCTTGCTGGATCTGGACCTGAATCTGGAATCTACGTAGCCTGACTCACCTTTTGAGTTTTAAACACACATCGCCTGGATCTGGATCTCGATCTGGAACTGAATCCTGCCAGGACGCACCCGTACACAATCTTTGCCTGTCTTCCCCGCCCATCTCCGCCCGTCGGCGCGCAGATTTATACCACAGATAAACTACTGTTCACATAATCTCTATATATAGTATAGCCGTTTTGGTGATGTGTACGTCGTTGTACGTCGGCGGCGGCGCCAGATGGCCTCCTAGGAATTCGTTCCGTCGTCTGTCTGTCTGTCTGTCTGTCTGTCTGTCTGTCTGTCTGTCTGTCTGTCTGTCTGTCTGTCTGTCTGTCTGTCTGTCTGTCTGTCTGTCTGTCTGTCTGTCTGTCTGTCTGTCTGTCTGTCTGTCTGTCTGTCTGTCTGTCTGTCTGTCTGTCTGTCTGTCTGTCTGTCTGTCTGTCTGTCTGTCTGTCTGTCTGTCTGTCTGTCTGTCTGTCTGTCTGTCTGTCTGTCTGTCTGTCTGTCTGTCTGTCTGTCTGTCTGTCTGTCTGTCTGTCTGTCTGTCTGTCTGTCTGTCTGTCTGTCTGTCTGTCTGTCTCACTGCTGGCCCCGGCTCCGTGGCCTTGCGTCGACGGCAGCATACTCGACCCCGTGAAAGAGTCCCCTGCTGCTCCTGTCGCTAGAGAGCCCAGCTCTGGAGGGGGAGGAGGAGGGGGAGGAGCAGGAGGCGGCGGAGGACCAGGAGCACGTTGCAAGACCGGACTGATGAGAGCCGCCGGCATGCGCTGCGGCGGATGCGGCGGATGCGGCGGCGGCGGCGGCGACAACATCAACGGTGATGACGGCGGCGTCGCCACCGGCACTGCCGTCGCGACGGCGGCCATGAGGCGCTCCAGGTGCGCCTCCACAAGGATCGCTGGCGGCCTGTTTTGGGGCTGACGTTGCAAGCAATGAAGCGCCACTGCCCGGTAGGTCTCCGGGCACGAGGGTGGGAAGGCGGGGAAGATGCTGCTATACCGGGGGCCTTGGTCGGTGCGGATGCCGGCGCGGCGGCCGTGGTAGAGCTCCCATAGCATCACACCCAGCGAGAACACTTGGGTGGTTGCATGTATGTATGTATGTGTGTGTGGGGGGGTAGGGTTGTGTGTTGTGTGTGTGGGGGGGGAGGTAGGGGTATAGCGGTGTAGTGATGTAGACGACGACAAGCGGGACGGGGAGGGGCGGAAAGGGGGGAGGGGGAGGGGGAAGGAAGCCGGTCAAGGAGCGGCAGAGAGAGAGAGAGAGGGAAAGGTAAGGGGAAGGGGGAAATCGGAAATGGGAGAGCAGCTGGATTAGAATGGCACCTGGATTCGAAACGGCGACTTCAGACAACGACGGACCGACAGCAGCAATCTTCATGTGGACATTGCTGCTGCTGCCTGTTCACGCCACTACTCTGCTACGGCTGCCCCAGAGTTTTTATTTTCGTTTTGGGCCTAGTACCCTAGAGTAACAAACTGGGTGTTTCTTGCGGTTACAATTCCTATTTTTTTAGTCGCTGGGGT